TTTTTTTTTTTTTCCCCGTCCTTCGGAAATTGGAAAAGTTCCTGCGGGAAGAAGAAAAATGAATTTTAAGGAAAAAAATTCTTACAACCTCCCCGTCGGGGAATCGAACCCCGGTCTCCCGCGTGACAGGCGGGGATACTCACCACTATACTAACGAGGACGGCTTATACTCGCTTTCCTGCGCGCCCGGTCATGCCCGAGGTGACGACCTGCTCCACTGCTGCCGTCCTCCGGGAAGTAGTTCCAGCCACAAAATCTTCACCCACCTGAGCGCCTGCGGTGACGCCGGGAGAGCCGCCCCTCGCCCGACGCAGGGACCGCAGCCCCGGCCCCGCTCCGCCCGGCGGCAAAAGCAGGGGTCGTCACCCGCACGGGGAACGAAAAAGCTTCTGCCGAAACCCGGGATCGAACCAGGGACCTTTAGATCTTCAGTCTAACGCTCTCCCAACTGAGCTATTTCGGCGGGCGACAGCGCCCTCGCTGGCCGCGGATACGACCCCGCCCAGTTCCCCCCCCCGGTGCCGCTGCCTGGCCGTGCCGGTCCTCCCGGGCGGGTCCCGCCCCCGCGGCACCAGCGCCCCGTTCCTGGCGTGCCCGGGGGTCGCACACCCCCGGGTACTGATGTCCACTCCGCGGTCCTCGGGCACCCCTCCTGGCACGCCCTGCCCTGGCACAAAACGCAGCACTCCCGGGTCCACCCCGCCCCTCTCGCAGGGGGTGACGGGGCCCGGGGTTCCACTCCACGTCAGAACCCTGCGCGGGGCCGCCCGCAAAAAACGGCGTCCGGGGACAAAACACAGGAGGACCTCCCCGTCGGGGAATCGAACCCCGGTCTCCCGCGTGACAGGCGGGGATACTCACCACTATACTAACGAGGACGGACACACCAAACTAATTTTTTGCCTTGCATTATAACAGTGCAGTCCCGCCCCGGGCGGAGCCGCCGCCGCTCCCGCGGGTGCTGCGGGTCCCGGGGCCCCGCGCGGGGCTGTGCGGAGCGAGGGGGGCGGGACGAACGCGGGAGGAGCGCGGGGCGGGCGCGGTGTGGCCGCCGGGCCCGGCGTGCGGGCGGCAGTGTCTGTTTATCGGCTGTACAGGAGTGTTTCTCATCCAGGGGATGTAGCTCAGTGGTAGAGCGCATGCTTTGCATGTATGAGGCCCCGGGTTCAATCCCCGGCATCTCCACTTTTTGCCCCTGCCTCGTGAAGCCTGCGGGTTTTTTGCTTTCTCTTGCCCCATTTTCTAAATTAGGAGCCACGATTTCCAAATAAGTTCCGTAATGGCGTTTCTTTTTTTCCTTTCCTCCCACAAACAGGGCAGTTTGCAGACTTCTGCTGCAATTCTTGTTAGAGAAAGGCAAGACCCCCCAGCACCCTCCTGCCTGGGGTTATCACAAAACACTGCAGAGCTGCACTGTTTGACTTACAAACAGTGTAAAGGGCTGGATTCCTTCTTGCTCGAGAACAAAAGTTGCTGTTTCATCAGCTTTAGATATTTTTAATGCTTACTTGTGTCCCAGCCTCACCTCTGAAGTGTGTGGGAGCAGTGGGTGAGTGGGAGCAGTGGGAACAATGGACATGCATCCAACCTCTTCTCCAGTTGGACCAAAATTTCTTGTTGTGAAATGAGCAAGTGGTCGAAGTCTGCCCTGCTTCCCAAAACTGGCTGCATTCCCCAAAGTGCTCCAGCCTGTGAAAAGCAGGTGGCTCTCGAGCACCAAGACAAAACAGCCCTGGCCAACCATGTGGCAAAAGCCCCAGGAGATCTGAGTGCCTGCAGCACTATGCCAGGAATGAGGAGAGATTTGAACAAAAAATTTTGGAAGCAAGATTAGTGGATATCCTGGAGAAATGGCAAACTCCTCAAGATGCAGGAAAAGAACCATTAGGACTGCACTGGTTTGGCTGGGCTGGAGTGGATTTCTCCACAGCAGCCCCCTTGCTGCAGTTCTGGATGGGTGACTGACAGTGCTGACACACACCAGTGTTTGTGTCTGGGTCAGGGTCAACCCACCACCAGGCCCAAGGGTTCTGTCTGTGTTTGGATCTGCTGACACATGTGAGGAAGTGCCTACACAGCTCCGAAATTCTGCTCACTGCAGCATCCCACAAAGAAATAATTTCTCCCATTCAAACCAAGAACTTTACATATTTATTACAGTTCATATGACTAATATAGTCCAAAGAGAAACTTCTGATTAAAAAAAAAAATCCATAAAATACAATGGATAAAATTATCCAAACATTAATATTACAAAGTACCAGCCAAACAGCTGGTAGGACTTCTGGGAACATGGAGGACTTCCCAGAAAAAGAGACTAACACCTGGCTCTCTTCCAAAAAGGTATTGCTACAGTTGGTGAGTCCATCTGTGTCAGATTTCCAGGGAAACCCTTGGAAGCTCTCCAAACACCTTGGAGACAAGAAGTCCATCAAGAACAGTCATACTGGTGGCCAGTTCTGGGCGAGGTCATCGTGCATGGCTTCAGGGATCCACTGACGGTAGGCTGAGAGCAAATCTGGAATGGGAGCAGAGTGGTCAGACGGCTCTGGGAGTCAGGGACTGGGGTAGTTTGGCTGGAAAAACAAGGTCCTGTGGGATCACCCCGCTGGGAGCAAGAACCAGCCTTTCACCACTGGGATGGTGCTGGAGCTTGGACACTTGCATGCAGATGTAACAGCATCCAGTGGGGGAGAATGATTGTGAAAGTCATCACTGCATCACTTTGCTGCTGCTTCTATAAAGACCTCTTATAATCTGGTACAAATACTGAACAAAAGCCATTTTACCTGGAAAAAAAATTTCTTTGCAAGAACCAAACACAGGGCATTACTGTTTCTTGTAAGAAAATATCTGGAGCTTATCAAGTGACATTGTCCACTTTTTAAATTATAATTCAACAGTGCTCGAGGTACTCCCCTGATATGACTGATAATTAAGCAAGCAGAACACTTACATTTAGGATTTTTCTTCCATGCAGCCAGTAAAGCATTATGATTATCGCAATTTTCTGCAACCAGAGCCTGCAGGAGGGATTCTGTCCTGGGCTGAAGTCTGAATCAATAAAATGGTG